GTGTGGCTTTTTTTTAATAAAGGCCTTGAGACGATACGGATTGTCGCCACAGTTGTCCTTGAAAGTGTTGAGACGTAAGATCAGGACATCAGGACCGATTCATTGAAGGAGGATGGATCTGCAAGTTATTTAGACTTTCCACATTTTGAATTGCTTTCCTTGATGTGAATAATAAAAACTGATGATAGGAAAGACATTTTATCAGATCTTAGTGAAATGTAGTTTGACCCCATTATTCTGCTTTGTATTTACTTATACTAGTACTACTACTTAATACTTCTAATGTTATGAGGATAACTTGTTGTATGTATTGCTACTGCTACTACTACATTGTAAAAGATATGCTCCTTCTCCCGCATTAAAAAAATCCAGAAGCCATAAATATGCAAACGTCTTTCATTTGGAAAGTTGAACATATATTAAACTCAGAATCAAGGTGAACACAGAGAAGCGAGGAAGATATAGCAAGTTAAAAAATTTGTGACAGGTTGGACCTCAGGCTGGAATTACAACAGGGAGTGAATGAGAAACGACTGAGACTTTCCTATCAATTAAGGTTCAAAGCTAAAACTCTAAACCTCCACTGAACAAGATTTTGCCATTTGAGTGAGAAAAGGCATGTGGCTACATTTTGGTGCCTTTTTTGTGCTTATGGAGATAAATATACACAACTGGCAGCAGTTTACAAAACAAAATCTAGTCCTAAAAATTAATATAAAATTCAACTGAAACACCATCGATATTTTATGCAAATTTTGGGAGGATACCTGTGAATCATCAGCACATTCGTTAAAGTCACCACTTACAATTAAAAGGGAGTTTGAATACTTCTGTAAGAGTTCATTTAATTTTGAAACTATGTGGGAGAAAAGCCCTTTGTTCAGAGAGCGTGAGTTGTGACCATAAACATTGCATACAATGAAGAATGCATTATCCTGCCTAATAACAATAGTTAACCATCTGCCATCATCATCTGCAGTTTTTTGGCACCTGCTCCCTTTGGCTCTCTTCCAAACAGCAACATGGATGCGGCAGAGTGCAAACAGAATAATGACAGATCTGACAGACCATCCTGTTTTTTAGGGCCGACACAATGGACAATGTCAACACCCTCCTCCAGGTATTCCCGTAGCCCTAGAGCAACTTTTCCAATCACATTAATCACTACCTTTTTCACATCCTCGTTGGCCTCCTCTTTCAGCCCGTGCAGCTTTAGCGCCCATCTCCATCTATAACGCTTGCATTTGGCGACTCCTTCCCTCAGGAATCTGTTTTCTTTTTTCCGATTTTCAATCTCTTGTTTCGTGTTTTCCAGTACTTCTTTATGGTGCTCAACGTCCATCACAAGTAAAGGAGAGTTTCTCAATTTGCGTAGAGGTTCTTGTTTTCAGTTCAATGTGCGAAATTTTAATGGAATGAGTTGTCGAGTTGTTTGGCCAGTTCACCACAAATTTTGGCTAAATCTTGGATAGCAGCCAAAATGTCTGCGTGGCCACTCTCCTCGCTGTCACCATTACCATTACTGCGCTCGCAGTTATGAGGTGAAATGAAAAGAATGTCAACTGTGTCCTCTGGGTTAACGTCAAGTTTATTCGATACATCTTCTTTACCTGAGTCTTCCATAGAAGCTTCCGTGTTACTGACGTGAGATTTGAAAATAGTTTCTCAATACATTTGCAGCAAACCCACTCTTTTTCAATAAAGTTATGAATAATAATATTTTAAATATTATTTCATAAGTCCTCGTTTTGGGGGCACCACCTGAGTAACCTACTGTCCGCCCAAGGTCTCAGGACGCCTTGGGTATGGTTCTAATAATTACACAATTATTCACTAGTGATAAGTTAGTTAATAATTGCTAATCGTTTTGAATCAGTTTAATCAATCAGTCAGTCTCATATCAAAGTCGTGAATCCTCTGTCCAGTGACCTGGATTTAAACAGTACACACACACAGTTCCTGTGATTAAGGTGAAATTTCTTAACTAACTAATGTGAATACACAGTGAGGTTAAATATATCAAAGACATACAACAATAATGATTAAACAAACAGAATGCAATCAATGAGCGTAAGAGAGTTCAATGTGAGTCTAGTTGGTCTATTGTGGGAAAGGATTTGATTCTAAGGGAGCAAGATAACTTATGAACGCAAGTTATATGATCATAACTAAGGATTAAGGATCATGACTAAGGATTAAAGGCTAAAGGATTAAAGATAAAGGACATCACCTCGACCATAGAATGTAAGTTGCTTTGCCTTACTACTTGCAGTTTCTCAGCCGGATGGTGTTCGGACGGCCCCACGACTAGTTAGCGCTTGGGTCCTTGGTGTGCACAGTTTCAGCGGCTTGGCACGCCAGGGCCGGCTTTTTACTAGCAGGTTTGTCCTGGAGGTCCGTCCTAGTGGGCTTGTGGTTGAAGAAAACTTGCAGTGATAGGCCGTTAGCCTGGCTTGGTTCATAGTTTGATGTCCTCAGTGTTACTAGTGTAACCCATGTGGCTGGGTCTGAACTTTGGTGGGAGCGGCGGAAGTTAATTTGACTGAAATAAAGCTTAAAAGGGAACTTGGTTATTCCTGATTTCAAAGTTGTGTGGCTTAAACGGTCTGATTTTAACAAACAAAACAAAAGAAAGTAAATTCAACAAAGGTTTGCGTGAATATGGCTAAGTACGTTGCTGGAAGACAAAGAATATTTGTCTGCCCAAACAGCACTTGGGAGTGGAGCAAACCTTTCACCCCTCTCTTTCTCTCAGGGAGAGACACAGAGAGATTCTGGGTTCTTCCTTTTAGGCATAAAATAATTAAACCAACACTGGCTGATTCACTACACTATCAAGCCGTCATTTAACCAGTTTCAAGTCAAACAAATTAGGTTGTGTTATCAAAAACCTCCACTTTTCTGACGAAGAGTTTAAAACAGCCTCCTCAGACCAGCGCCATCTTGGCCTCCCCCACGGACCTGTATTGTAAAAGCGCAGTGATTTTGGGTAAGAAGCGTGTGTAACTTCATGTGTGAGAAGCGTACGTAACTTGATGTAAATAAGGGTTTAATAACGTAAAGGGAACAATTTACGTCACAGACAATTCAATGTTATTTAGACAATAAAAAATTGGAACCAATTATAATACTACACACTATAATAAATGATAAAACAATGTTTTTTAAAGTAGAAAACAACACTTAACGCCGCCCATTGTGTGACGTTGTTGAACCAGGGAATCCATGTGTCCACCACAACAAATGAGCCTCATTGACATTGTATAGGTTTTGTTTCTGTGGTGCCAACACATAATTTTAACACATTATTACCACCACGTAAATCAGGGTTAAGGGGTCGTGTACATTTCACGTATTTCTGTGAGATCAGGTTGATTATGCATCAAGGCCTAATGGTGGAGGAGTTATTCCTAATTCATTTTGGGCATTTTTCCAGGATATAGGTGTCTGTTTCCAACATTACTCAAGTACTACACTTACGTACAAACTTGTGCTTGTAAATAAGTATTTTATTTTCATTCCACTTTCTACTTCTACTCCACTACATCTCAGAGGTAGAGGTTGTACTTTTCAATTCACTATATTTATCTGATAACTTCAGTTACTGCTTACTTCACAAAACACGCAAAACTTATAAAGACTTCATAAAATATATTTTGTTATAAATTATACTACCCAACATTTTGTAGTACAGCTGAGACGATTATTAAATTGACATTGAAATTAACTGACTGATAGACATTTTTAATGTAAAATCATTTCACGGTTTCACTACTGTGAAGATTTGCTGCTTTTCCTTTTAATTATTTAAATGTATTGGTAATTATTTTGAGGTTTGTACTGCTTGTTAGACAAAGCAAGCATTGTGAAGGTGTCATTTTGGGCTCTGCGTAATTGTGACGCCATTTCTCACTAATTTCAGAAATTCAATAATGGAGGAAATAATCAGCAGATTAATCCATAATGAAATTAATCATTAGTTGCACTCCTTTTACATTAATGGATAATGGTAATAATATTACATGATAGGATAACACTCTGGACTTTTTTCTGCAGCGACTACTTTTACTTTGCTGGTCCAGTGGATAGCACTGTGTTCTCCCCGTGTCTGCGTGGGTCTTCTCTGGGAGCTCGGGTTACCCCTGCTATAAAACACATGTCAGGTTCTCCGATCGGTGTCATTGACCAGACACTGATAAATATCTGGAGTGTGTCCTCGGATGCTGCACAGTGGCTGCCAACTGCTCCCTTGAGTGATGGGTTAAATGCAGAGAATGAATATCGCAACATGTACAGTGGGGAGAACAAGTATTTGATACACTGCTGATTTTGCAGGTTTTCCTACTTACAAAGCATGTAGAGGTCTGTAATTTTTATCATAGGTACACTTCAACTGTGAGAGACGGAATCTAAAACAAAAATCCAGAAAATCACATTGTATGATTTTAAATAATTAATTAGCATTTTATTGCAGGACATAAGTATTTGAGACATCAGAAAAGCAGAACTTAATATTTGTGTATGCTATGTGTATGCGACAATAAAGTATCTTCTTCTTCTTCTTCTTCTTTAAGTACATTTTCCAGATTTCCAGATTTACTTTCATAATTTTACTTTAGTAACAATTTAAATGCAGGACTGTTACTTGTATTTTTACAGTGTGGTATTAGTACTTTTACTTAAGTAAAGGATCTGAATACTTCATCCACCACTGACACACACACACACACACTCATAAAACTGAGTAACTTGAATTATTATTGAAAGGGCAACCTGTTTATATTGCTTAATAAATAGGAAAGTTTGCATACTGTGTTGTTTAATTTTGTTTGTCATGTCAGCAACCCGTAACAAACATCATAATAATAGTACCCTGTAGGGTGAGACAAGGGAGGGACACACTCAGATCGGGTTTGACAAGATCTGCATAGCTGTCCATCAATAGAAAATGTGATGACTGTAAACTTTCAAGTTTAGCTTTTACTTCCTGATCCCTGCAGGCAAGGCTATCTTTCTCATACAAGAGCCTGTTTCTCTTCTCTAAATCTTAACCACCCCCCATTTTCTAAGGACTTCAGCACATAAGTACTGAGCTTCCGTACAAGCAGACTACAGAAACTGACAGACAGCGGCGTCTGAAGTCTACTGGTAAGTAGAATAAATAACTGTACCATATGCTGAAGGGAAATTTATTGGTCATCTAGACACTTATCCACATCTAACCTTATATAAAAGGTAAGTAGAGTTGGTTTACACATTTAATGCATTTAATATTTTTGTTCAAAGGTCTACCTCATGGATTATGGTCTGATCATCTTTGTGCTCACAGGTTGGTGCCTCTTGTTTGATAATTCTGCTGTTTGTTTGAGCTAGATAACATGCTCTGATAATGCCTGTCTCACGGTCAGGGTGGACAGCAGACGAGCCAGTTTCTGACAAGCCAAAAGATTCCACTTCTTTGCCCCCATCCATCCCACATCTATGGCCAATCAACAACAACATCTTTTGAATTAAGAGAAAAAATCCAGGGTGAACACTTTGATACCCTTTCTCTGCACAGGCTATGATATTTTAATTAAATATATGAACATGTGGTCCTGCTCTAGACGCTCAAGTCTAAACGCATCATCTAATATCTTTTAGTAGTTGAACTGGTTCTTTTTTTAATGGTAAACAGTGAACACCAATTTACTGGGGCAGGCAGTGGTGAAGTTTGCAGCAGTTTTCATGTGTTTAGGTTGCAAGTTCCAAGACTTGGCTCCTTTCACAGAAAAGGACATCTAAGCAAAAGAAATTTTGCAAAATGAAATTTACAATCGGCACTCTAAGCTGCTCTGGTGGATCAGCTGCTACTTTGAAGTCTCTTAATGTACTTACTTATTCTAAGGCCCATAGCGGGCGGTTGGGTTGAGTGCATTCACAGCCTTCTTGGGACACTCGGCACACAGCAAGACAGATAGCAGAAACAGGTTGCTTTGCCAGTGGGTTGATCCGGTCCTTCTTGCTTGTAACTTGTAGCATCTGGCAACAGTGTTTAGGCAAACTGTGAACAGTTTTAGGCGGCAGGACAAGTTCTGGTCAATTGCTCAGCTTTGATTTTCTGATTTCCGCTTTGTTACTGCCTGGGCGCTCGTCTGATGAAACTGTTTGGGGTAATTTAAAGTCAATACAAAACAAAATAAGATTTCAAAGGAAACAATTCGTTGCTTTGCTACTCAAAATATACGTAAGTTGAACGAGATAATAACTTGAAACAAAACAAAAAATATATAAAATGTTAAGATACCACAAAACATGAGGTTCGAGAGACCTCGTAAATATAATCGTTGCTAAGGTAGATTCAAAAGAATAGCCTGGGGAATTTGCCTTGTGCATTCATCTTGTCCTCCATCTGGTTCTTCTGCTCCTGTGACATGCTTTCTCACGAGACTCTGAAACTATTTCAGCATCATCAGTTTTCCGGCTACTGCAGGTGGATAGAGTAGCTCGGCCCAGGAGAGCGAACAGCTCTGCGGCCATGCTGGTTTCTCACCTCACCAAAAGTCTCTAAACTAACTTCTTAAAGATCTTAAAAAGTGAATACACAATTAATTCGGATCAAGGAAAACACATAGGCCTATTCTAAATATTAAACAATTCATAATCATAATGCCAAAATAGCGGGAACAAGAAATTAGGTAATTAATACACATTTGTAAAACGATAATATGAAACAAAAGACAATCAGGTATTGAAGCAGTTTATAATAATTAGATTTAACAAAACTTCTACTGATAAAACACGATAATATTAAGCTAATCAAAACATGACAAACTAAAGTAATTGTGGGATGTTTCTATTATTATTATTATTATTATTATTATTAACTATTTAGCCGCTCAGATGGAACAGTTACTTAAAGTGGTAATTTTATGCTCATCATTTTATTTAGGGGTTGTACCAGAACAGGTTTACATGGTTTCATTTTCAAAAAACACCATATTTTTGTCGTACTGCACATTGCTGCAGCTCCTCTTTTCACCCTGTGTGTTGAACACTCCGTTTTAGCTACGGAGTGAAGCATCTCACTTCTAAATTATCTTTGTTGGGAGTTGCACATGCGCAGTATGTCGTTTAGGACTACTAACCAATCAGAAGCAGAGATGGGCAGATCAGTGAGAAGCAGGTAAACAAGGCTTTGGTTCAGCTGTATATCCCCTTACCAGCTTGGCAACATGGCAAGAGTTTCAGAGTGGTGAGTTATTATTCTGTAACAAAAGTCTCTTTCATCCATAAAGTTTTAACTGAGCTCTGTCTCTACATCACAGTAACAACTTTATGTCCATTCACTGCCTGGAGGGTAACTAGTGTTTGCAAGGGAGAGGAGAAGTGTGCTGCAGCTCAGTGTTTTTCCACCGGTGTTTTTGAGGGTGTGTCTGCTTGGCGAGTATTATAATGCATATTTCGCTGTGATATCACAGCACATGGGAGGAAAAGGCTGGACTACAAACAAGCTGTTTTCAAGGAGTTCAGAGCAGAGTTTTTTGTGGGAGATGGGAGATTCTTTTAAATCGTTAAACGATTTGGGCTTTTTCACTTTGCAAACCTATTACACACACAACAAAGGCCAAAAAGCATAAAATAACCTCTTTAAAAGAAGGGCTAACTGAACAAACCACCAGTTTAGAAGGAGTGTCATCTTAGTGACATAAAGAGAAATAAGCTCTGATTATGTGAAGGGTCATACTTTCCTTTGTCCTCTGGAGAGCGCTGTGACTCCATGAAGAGAATTTTAGCAGCCTTATCATTTCATAATTGCGTGTCATGTCATAGCAAGCATATTTTTTACATTACAGATATGAAACGTGGATCAGAAGCAACACCATTATATTTTTTTCACAATAGATTTGGGGGCTGTGGAAGAGAAGAGACTGGGGTTAGTTTCTTAAAGCAAAATGCATTTTGAGTTTTATGATCACGGCTGCGGAGTAGCGGAGCATGTATCATTTGGTTGGAGTGTGTGGGAGACCCATTTTGGAGACACCAGTTTATGCTTCTTCACCACTCCCAAAGTGGTTTTGTTATTCCAACTGTCTTGATAAACCTCCAGTTCATGGGAAGGTTAGATAGTCAGTTCTTACCTGGAATCTGTTAAAGCTGGTACTTAATAATAAATAGTCTTGAATGGCAAGGCAAGTCACTGTGATCCATAGGAGGATTAGTTTGTCTGTGTGTGATTTCTTCACAGCAATAAAACCCCCTTCCTTTGAGTTGTGGGTTGAAGGCCTTTTCAGACAGGCAGTTTCTGCTTTTGGTATGAACTCACCTCCTCGACATGAATGAAACAAAAGGGAATCTGGCTGTGTTCTACATAGCATACAAAAATCTTACCAACAAAGAAAAGGTATTGTAAAGTCCCACAGGATGGCTGATGCATAGTGCCTCTTAATGTTCACTGAGAAAGAGTCTAAAATGCTTTATAAAATAATTAAGTTATAAAAAACTAACCATGCTTTGTTTCAGGAGCACTGGTCAATGTTGCCTCTGAGCAAACTCGTCAATACTACTTTGTGAATACGCCACTGAACTGGACTGAAGCTCAGAGCTTCTGCAGACAGGTCTACACTGACCTGGCCACCATAGAAACCATATCTGACGTCAGTACCGTACTCCGCACCACACCGAGCTACAGAGGCAAGTTCTCAATATTGGAAACATATAAATAAACATACAGTATGTATAATCATATGTATGTACACAATAGCCAGGCAACAAAAGCCCTCAATGAAAAATAGAGGAGACACATAATTTAAGGGGTGGTCAATGAAGTAATTTACATTTTAAATTAATTCACCAGCAAATTTCAGGTGTTAAATAAAAAAAATCTGTTTTTAACAGGCAAGGCTTGGATAGGCCTCTATAATAAAGACTGGAGATGGTCTCTGAGTGACAACAGCTTCTATGGTGAAGCAGATACTGGGTTTAGAAACTGGGCTGCTGGACATCCCGTAAATGGACAGGAATGTGTGGGGATTGGAATCAACGTTTGGTATAACATAAATTGCAACAACATTCAACCCTTTGTGTGCTACAACGGTGAGTTTTCTTATATCGTAAAAATGAAAAAAGGGCTAAATAGATCTTCTGCATAGCACATTGTTAATAACTTATCTTTATTAATATATTTCCAGGTTCAGTAAATGACACATCATCCTTTGTAAAGATTGACAAACTTTTGAACTGGATCGAAGCTCAGAGCTACTGCAGGGAGAATTACGTCGATCTAGCCAGGTACAGTGTGCACTGATGAAGACTCCAACACATACAAAATAATACAGTACTGAAACAACTACTTAAGAACTGCTGTATGTTCTGTTGATGAAATTCAGCTTGTTGACAGATGATTTGAATCGTTTTTATGACTGTAAGGCACTTGGGGCTGAGTCACGTAGAATGATGATGATGAACATTGTGATGACTAGACAGTATTGGTAATAGAAGTATCACAACGATAGGTGATTTTAAGATGTTAATTAACAGCTACGTTGTCAGGTGGTAGAACACATTACCAAATTCTAAAATGATCACATAAGCTTCAATATTATATTTCCCAACAATCACTAACAATGCACTGCATTGTCTGATTTTCTTTTGTCTGTTATGTTTTACCTCTTCAGATATACTCAACTCACCCTTGATGTGTATATGCTACTGTTTCTCCCACAGCATACGAAATCAGGCAGAAAATGACATCATCTCAAAACTGGTAGATGTTTACTTATTGTGGATCGGTCTGCACTGGGAACGACTGTGGTCTGATGGGAGCACGTCTCTGTTTCAAAACTGGGCCTATGGGCAAACAGACAGCACAGAGCAGTGTGTCACCACAGCGTTCAATAACTCAGGACTGTGGTCAGATGATAACTGCTCCCTCACTTTCCCGTTCATCTGTTACTCAACAAGTAATGCATTTTATTTCTGCTCACATACTGTATAAAGAGTCATTGTTGCATTTAGGCAGTTTACGTTTAGATTTGTGCACATGGGCAAGTCTGTTAAAGCAGAAACAAGAATGATCTGTATTTTTAACGTTCTTCTGCTAAATGCTGTTTAGAAGGTTATATACAGCAGATAAACCTGTGAACATGTGGAAATCTAGTGATCAGGTTGTAAGAAGCACAGTATTTAAAAATGACATTCCTAAAGATATTACTTTTCTTGTCTGTAAAGTGAATGTTTAACATCAATATTCTGTCTCAGTTCCTCCAAACGCAGAAAGCTTCAGATCAATAGCACAAGATGAGACCAGCATCACTCTGCAGTGGAATAAAGTGAACAACAACATCAGCTTTATTCTCCAGTTTAATGATGCAGAGATCAACATCACTGCACCAGATGGAGATGGACCAGTAACTTACACAGTCTCATCTCTCACTGCTGCAACTGAATACACATTCACTCTCTACTCTGTGTTTGAGAACATCAGAAGCAGCGGAGTGAGCATTACTGCATTTACTGGTAAGATGTTTGACATAACATTTTCTTCTTGCAACTTGGGAATCTACTGGACAGTTAATAGAACTTACCAGCAATAGCAGTTCCCCTTCGAGGGAACTCGAACTGTGTCTGTTACAACACTATGGGAACGCCTCTAGGCGAAGCAGGTCTGAACGTGAATGAAATGACTCCAATCCTATTGGCCTGTTGCTAGAACGGTAAGGTGTGACGGAATAACCGGAGGAGTATAAAGCACACCTGTACACACTCATCATTAGCTTTTTTTATTCAGCAGGCGCTCTGTATGTTGTTTGAAGAAAGCTCCAGTCCTACAAGCAGTATGTCTTACCTGAAGAAGAAGTCTACCAGCATGTCCGGCAACCAGATGTACAGAAGGTGTGTTTTTTCTTGCCCTCGGTACATCACGGATGGAGATTCTCATGAGATGTGTGTCTCATGTTTGGGGATGGAGCACGCACGGGCAGCTCTCGAGGGGGCTGCCTGCGCCCGTTGCGAAGCCCTTTCCGTGCGGGTACTGAGGTCCCGCATGGCTCTCTTTTCCGAGGATGGCCGGATGTGTTTTCCCCGTGGCGTGGGCCCTGCGGCCGCTGAGGCGGCCCGGCGGCTTCACTCATGGGTTCACAGCGTGATCTGTCGGAGGATTTCAGGACAGCTGAGGCTGACCTTCATCCGCTGGCTCCGACGCTTCCTTTCCTCGTTCGGGAGCCCGTTCTCGGCTTCTCCCGCTCGCGGTTTTGGATCCGGAGACGCTGCAGCAATCCTACTCCGAGGAGGCGGACGTGCTCAGCGCAGTGGACGATGACTTCCGGGTGTCGGGGCGGCGTCATCTGGCCGCGCCCGACTATGACGTGCTGCTGGAGGTGGTGACTAGAGCCGTGGCTAAGCTCAACATCAACTGGCCACGGGAGGAGCAGACACCACAGGCTAGTGGTAGCTTGATGAAAGGTTTCTTAAGCACCACACGCCACCTCCATGCCGGTCTCTGCCATTCTTTCCTGATTTACATGATGAACTGAGTAAATCATGGGGCAGACCCTTCTCTACACGGCTTTCCACACCCCGATCACTGAACTACAGTAATGTGATGGGGGTTAGGGACCGTGGTTATGGGAGGATGCCTCGGGTGGAGGATGAGCTTGCGAGCTATCTCTCCCCTCGACTTGCGTCCTCCCTGGAGAAGCCGGCATTACCATCCAAACCATGTCGCACCACATCCACGCTTGTGGGGAAGGCGTACATGGCAGCGGGCCAGGCAGGTGCGAGCTTGCACACCACGGTGCTTCAAGCCTACCAAGCCAACCTGCTACAGGAGATGGTTCAGAGGGGGGGTCCCTCCGAGGAAGATCTGGCGGAGCTTCGCAGAACCACGAAGCGTTAGACGCAGTGCGAAGCGTTCCGCCAGTACCTCCCTCGCCGGTCTGGACCCAAGGCAGCTGAGGCTGCCAGGCGTAGGTCCCTTCCCTCTATGAGCTCCTACGGAGAGGAGGGAAGCAGAGTGTCGCTTCTCGGGGGCCCCACGAGGAGCTGGGGCAGCGAGACGGCGCTCTCACCCTCAGCCGTCTGAGAGACGCGATCTGAGGACCGTCATCCAGTCCCGACGGAGCTCAGGGAAGACCGGGGTAGGGGAGTCTTTCTCCCCTCCCGCACCCCCCCCCCCCCCCCCCCCCCGGAGGCCGACCGAGGTCCCCTCCGCCGTGGCAACAGGTGATGTTATCCCGCCGTTTACACGTTCAGGACGCACCTGCCACCACCGAGTCCGCGCCGTACTGCCTGCCCCGAGGGTCTGCAGGCGGACGGCATCCCGACTCACTCACCGTGGATCTTCGGCGGCTCCCCCCTGCCGTTCTGGGGCTTCAGGGGTCCACCAGAAGATCACACGAGACACCGACCACCAGCCCCGAGGGGCTGGTTCCGTTGGCAGACTTTGCAGACGCTTGGCGGAGCCTGACGAACATTTCTCCGCGGGTCCTGCGCACTGCCATAGATGGGTATCGACTACAGTTCAAAACCCGCCCTCCAAATTCAACAGAAGAGAGGGGGTGGTTTGGACTGTGGTCCGCCCGGAGCAAGGTCCGGTGTTGGGACAGGAAGTTTGTACTCTGCTGAGGAAAGGGGCCGTGGAACGTGTCTCCCCCCCAGACAGAGACGCCGGTTCTACAGCCGGTACTTCATAGTCCCCAAGAAGGACGGAGGGCTGCGTGCCCTATTTTGGATCTGCGGGTTCTAACCGGTCTCTGAGGAGATTCAGGTTAAAGATGCTCATCATCCCCGCCACCGTGACGCACATCCAATCTGAGGATTGGTTCGTCACGATAGATCTAAAGGACGCCTATTTCCAGGTCTCCATCCGTCCTTCTCACAGGAAGTTCCTGAGGTTTGCCTTCGGGGGTGTGGCTTACCAGTATCGGGTTCTTCCATTCGGCCTGGCACTTCCCCTAGCACATTCACCAAGTGTATGGATGCAGCACTGGCCCCGCTGAGGCTCCGGGGCATCCGGATTTCAACTTCATCGACGACTGGCTCATCCTAGCCCAGTCTCGAGAGTTGGCAGTTCGGCATCGAGATGTCGTTCTGGCTCGTCTGCGGCGTTTAGGGCTGAGGCTCAACGCAAAGAAGAGCGTGCTGGCGCCCACCCAACGGGCTACGTTCCTAGGGGTTGCATGGGATTCGACAACGATGCGGGCACAATTGTCTCCGGCACGTGTCGACACCATATTGGCTGCCGTGAAAGGGGTGAAGTTAGGCCACGCCATCACTATGAAACACTTTCAACGAGTGTTGGGTCTCCTGGCGGCTGCGTCCAGCGTAATACCATCTGGACTGCTGCACATGAGACCCCTGCAGTGGTGGCTAAGGAACAAGGGTTTTTCCCCGAGGGGAATCCTCTCCGTCTGGTTTGGGTTACGCACAAGTATCTTCGTTCCCTATCAGTTTGGAAGGAAACTTGGTTCCTGTCCCAGGGGCCCGTGCTGGGAGGGTCTTGTCGCCGGCTGGTTCTTTCGACAGACGCCTCCCTCACGGGCTGGGGCGCGGTCATGGACGGCCGCTTTGCAAGGGGATCCTGGCAGGTGCATCGATCCGAGTGGCATATCAACTGTCTCGAGATGTTGGCGGTGTTCCAGGCTCTAAGGAGTTTCCTGCCCGATCTCCAAGGCCACCACGTCCTGGTTCGCTCCGAGGAGAACAACACAGCGGTGGTGGCCTATCTGAATCACCAGGGCGGTCTGCGCTCGCGCCCTCTGGACAGACTGGCGCGTCAGATCCTCCTGTGGTCCCAGCAGAGGTTACTATCGCTCAGGGCGATGTATCTCCTGGGGACGCAGAATCAGGGAGCAGACCTGCTGTTGAGGCAGGGGCTGAGGCCCGGGGAATGGAGACTTCACCCCGAAGGGGTTCGAGCCCCATAGACGTGGATCTGTTTGCGTCTCAAGAGACTACGCACTGCCCGCTATGGTTTCTCTCATTCTTCCAGCCCCGTTGGGTCTGGACGTCTGTACGCTTTTCCCCCAGTCGCTCTGCTCCCGGGGTTCTGGAGCGGGTCCGCCAGGACTATCTCGGCCTACTGCTCGTAGCCCCGTTCTGGCCAACCCGGGTGTGGTTCTCGGACATCATGTCGCTCCTGGACGGCCCGCCGTGGCGGGTCCCTCTGAGGAGAGACCTGCTGTCCCAGGCGCAGGGCCGGGTTCTTCACCCTTGCCCCGCCATATGGCGACTGTGGGTCTGGCCCCTGAGGGGGCACAGTACCTAGAGGCGGGTCTAACAGCCGGAGCAGTCGAGACCCTCCTGAGCTCCAGGGCCCCGTCCACACGGAGGATGTACGGCCTGAAGTGGAGTGTTTTCTCCACTTGGTGTAGGGAGCGGTCGGTGGACCCTGTTACCTGCCCGGTGGTTCAGGTACTTGAGTTCCTCCAGGACCGGTTCTCTGCTGGTCTTTCCCCTTCCACCCTCAAGGTGTACGTGGCAGATATTTCATCTTTCCACACCCCTCTGAGGGAGGGGTTCTTGGGGAAACTTCCCTTGGTTGTACGTTTCCTCCGTGGTGCCCGGAGGATGAGACCTGCGACTCGGTCCAAGGTTCCCACTTGGGATCTGGCAGTGGTTCTTGGGGCGTTGGCTGAGGCCCCCTTCAAACCCCTGGAGTCAGCTGAGGCTAAGCACTTGACCCTCAAGATGGCCTTTCTCCTTGCTATCACCTCTCTGAGGAGGGTGGGGGAGCTCCAAGCGCTTTCGGTTTCCCCGCAAAGCCTGGAGTTTGCCCCGGGGAATATTAGGGCTATCCTGCACCCTCGTTCAGGATACATCCCTAAAGTGCCTTCTTGTGCGGCAGGGTCCACAGTGCTGCAGGAATTTCATCCTCCACCTCATGTGACGGCGGAGGACGGGAGACTTCATCTGCTCTGCCCTGTCAGAGCACTGAGTATTTACACTCTGAGGTCCTCCCGTTGGAGGAAGGCTGACCAGCTGCTAGTGTGTTTTGGGTCTCCCAGGGCCGGGCTCCCTGCATCCAAACATACTATTAGCAACTGGATTGTTCAGACTATTTCCCTGGCCTATCAGGTGCGCGGTTTGCCTTCACCTGTGGCTGTGAGGGCTCATTCTACCAGAGGCAAGGCGGCCTCTCGAGCCCTCCTTTCCGGGGCCTCTTGCAGGATGTTGTTTAGCGGCTGGCTGGGCCACTCCGCACACATTCATTCGGTTTTACAGTCTTGACCTTCCTTCGGCACCTGGCACTGGTGCGCTCTCCTCTTAGTAGTGCCACTTTATTGCACACAGGGGCAGGCGGGGTTTTCGGCACGGTTTAGTGGGTATCTCGTTCCCATAGTGTCGTAACCGACGCAGTTCGAGTTCCCTCGAAGGGGAACGTCTCGGGTTACGTATGTAACCCTGGTTCCCCGAGAAGGGGAACGAGAGACTGCGTCGGTCCGCCGCACCTCTCTCCCCGCCTGAAGCGCCTGCTTCATAGTTTAAGCTAATGATGAGTGTGTACAGGTGTGCTTTATACTCCTCCGGTTATTCCGTCACACCTTACCGTTGTAGCAACAGGCCAATAGGATTGGAGTGATTTCATTCACGTTCAGACCTGCTTCGCCTAGAGGCGTTCCCATAGTGTCGTAACCGACGCAGTCTCTCGTTCCCCTTCTCGGGGAACCAGGGTTACATACGTAACCCGAGACGTTTTTTCTTGTTACATTTAAACATTTTTCATATTGCTTCTTTATGTTATTAAGTTCATGTTGTCTTTTGCTCTTCCCTATTTTTTTCTGAGCACCTTTAAAAAGACACTGTTAACATAAAGTTATCTTGTCATTTTTATAATTATTTTCTTCTTTGTATAAAATAAAAATTTGTTTCATTTTATTTTAAAAGTTATGATATATCATCCAAATGCAGTGTTTGATTTTCAAGAGATTTTAACAAATCAATTCATCTTAAAATATTTTTCTTTCCATGTAAACAAACAACATCTTTCCAAAACATCTCTGACTCTTTGTCCTACAACCAAAGGCCCTAGTAAGTATTTGCATTTGTTTCATTCATTACATGGTCTGAGCCTTTGCCTTGAGTGCCCAATTCATTAATGTATTTTCATCAGCTTGACTGTAAATGATATCCTAATCACAGCTTTTTATCTCATGTTTCTTGTACTTGTTTTTTATTATTTACTATGGGCCTGATTTACTAAAGGTTTGTGTGAGTAAAAACGTGTGCAAACTTGATCTCACCAGCAAATTAACACGTAAGCTGATCTACTAACGGTGTGCACGCAGTATGACGTCTTTCAAAAGTGCAAGATAGCGCCTGTTGTTCATTTAGTACTTTTGCCTAAATGAATATGCAATTTGGGGCTTTTCATTGTTATTGTGAAAGTAGTGGGAGAGTAACATGTAAATACAGTTATTTACTACACGCAATGTGATATAACATTAAATAGTGCACGTACAATTTTAGTACCTGTTATAGGTGATTTACTAAGAATTATTGCGTAGATGACAACAGGAGCAAACACAGTGGAGGTGACAGTATTTAAATGAGGGGTTTGAGTATTTTAATGGTTTCCGCCATCGAGAGTCGAGAGGGAAAGCAGCCACTGCATAAAAACCTTGGTTTTTTTCATTCAGTGCGTCCCGAGTATGTGGAAATAGTATGTACCTGCCCATCCTGCCTGAGACTGCACTAAGTACTTGGGACAGCACACCTGAACTACTTTGGCAAAGCAGATACACTACTTTAGCAGAAACAGATACAGTGTGCTGGAATGACCCAGAGGCGAGGAAATGCCAGCAGATCGTGCTTCATCCAGCCAGAGGGAACAATCACCGACCGTCCGCACCGTGCCCAGTCGCTCCACGATCTCCTGTTCCTGGCCCTGTACGCCCCAACGCCCCCAATCCCTCTCCGATACCTACAATGGGTTGTGTCGCTATACCACCGGCGCGATGTGAACCGCTGGTGATCGTTCCCTCTGGCTGGATGAATTTTACGGGTGATCCATGCACTACTGCAGCTGGGGGCTCTCCGCAGCGCCACTAAACTTTCTAAATTCTTCCATCTCACGGAGAAAAGAAGTTAGGCAAAAACGATATTTGCTTTATTGGCATGATGTTAATACAACAGTATTGCCAAAGCTAAAGGAAAATACAATAAATATTCTATTCATATAGGTCATTAAATAAATAAGATAAAATAATTGTATTTCAATACATTGGATGTGGAATAATATTATCTAATATTGTTAATTTCTCTACGTTTTCTTTAATTACGGCTGTGTCTCCTTCTGGGAGCAATAACAGCAGCCATCTCTGCGCAACACTTGGTGGTTTGCTTGCACCTTCCTTTCAAACGTATTAAATACGTATAATTAGACTTGGTAGATCACATTGCGTGTAGTAAATAAATGTATTTGCATGTTACGCCCCCAAATTGCATATTCATTAAGGCAAAAGTTCTAAATGAACAACAGGCGCTTTCTTGCACTTTTGTAAATCATGCCCTTTTTTCGGGATGTTTGTAAATCCGGCCCTATGTGTTTACTTCAGCTGTATCTATAACAGAAACCAGTCGGTTTATATAAAACCACAGAATAAATTATTGTAAACACTACTGTACAGTTTTATAAACACATGATTTCACAAGTTTTCAAAGTGGTATTGTGTACAGAAAATACATGTGACTTTTTTGGTGAAAACATTTGATGTGTTTCATAAATGTGTTTCGTCAATTTTGTATGGATTTTTGTATATATTAAATATAATAACTAAGAATAAGCTGATGCAAAGACAGTATTTATAGTTATTATACTTCAAATGATGTTGAATACTTTGCTATATAAATGGAATCAATTTTCATGTGTTTCAATTTATGTAACATGTTTTATTTATGTCAACAGATTATGTTCTTGTTATGAACATAGAATTAGAGTCACTGACTCAGCTGTCAGACTCGGACCTGCAGAGCCTGTTGGAGGAGGTGAGACTAACTGTTTGTATTCACTTTTAATTCAAATAATCTACATCAAATTTTTTTGTTCAGCATTAACACTGTTTTATCTGTTGTCTTTTTTAAAATAAAGGCCAGACGATATATATTGTGGCCACAGTTGTCCTTCAAAGTGTTGCGACGTGAGATAAGGAAAAAGACAAGATGAACTGAAGGAGAATGGGTCTGCAATACAAAAACATTTTTCAAGTTATATAGACTTTTCACATTTTGCTTTCCTTGATGCAAATGGAAAAAAAAGTGATGATAGGAAAGACATTTTTGATTACAGTAAAATGTAGTTTGACTTCATTTTTCTGTTTTGCATTTACTTATACTAGTACTATTACTTTATACGTCCACTGTTATGAGGATTTTTTATTTTTTATGTGTTTTTCCTACAAATAAAGTTCAATTACTTTCTAAAAAATCTACTCTTTCTCTCACATGTAAAAATTCAGAATCCTTGAATATGCAAATGTTTTTCATTCGTAAAGTTTAACTACTGGACACAAGAATGATCCTACTTAACTGCATATTGGACCTAAATTGGCTTTCATTTACATTTATACATTTAGCTGACGCTTTTATACAAAGCGACTTACAATTGCTATTTATGTCAGAGGTCGCACGCCTCCGGAACAACTAGTGGTTAAGTGTCATCCACATTGGTGGATGTGTCACAGTGGGAATTGATCACAGGACTCTCACACCAAGGCATGTGTCTTATCCACTGCATTCACAAAATCCTGTTCACACGACCACATTTTAAACTCAGATTTAAGGTGAAAGCAGGGAAACGTTTACAGAAGATGAATGGAAACTCTGCACATACATCATTCAGCAAAGTGAAGCGCAAATATTCAGGTAAAGTAACAATAAGCAAAACAAATGTGATATTTTTAGTTTTGTCAGCCATACAAGAGGTCTGATAGTAGTGAAGTACTTTTAATTACAGAGTCATTAGACAACCAACAAAATTATTTTATATTTCACAGGATGCTAACTTTCATGATTTACGACACTGTGTCCAGAGGTTGGAAGACTCTTCTCTGATTTATTACGCGTTTTGGAGTGTTTACAAAGGAGTTAACTAGTTCACTTCCTGTGTGCCCAGGGTGGTCCCCGCTAATTATATGCTCTGTACTAGTAATTTAAGTGTGGACCATGCTGTGAAAATGACATGTAAATCAGATGACAAAGGGCTTACTTGCTGTTGCCAGTAGGTGGTACTATGACTTTGAGTGATTATTGGCATCTTTGTGTGTTCAGGGTGGGACTTTTATCAAGCATGCAAAGTTTAGTACAGATCTGATCATGTACATTGAAGTTTATGTTCAGTGTTTAATGACACCTGTTCTACTTCCTGTCCTGTCTTTTTTATGTAAATAGGTGTGTACCATAACATCAGTGTGATTGGTGGATTAAGTCTTTGCTCGGCGGGGGATTGGTGGCTGCAGTTCCAGCTGGTGGCAGATGATTGGCTGCTCCCTTAAGGCTTGCTATTTAAGTGGATAAGATGGCGGCGACCAGCGCGGGCGTCTTGGCATCTTCCTTCTCTCCCAAGAGGCCACAGTTTTGATCTTGTTTAAGAGTAGTAAGTAATCAGATTACTCTCTAATTAAGTTTATACTGTGAAACACAGTAATCAGATTACTCTCTAGTCATCAGGTTACTCAGTGTAAAACATAGTAATCAGATTACTCTCTGTTATTAGGTTCTCTCTGTGAAACAGTAATTAGATAACTCTCTAGTTATTAGGTTACTCTGCGTGAAACGTAGTAATCAGATTACTCTCTGGTTATTAGGTTCTCGCTTTGAAATATAGTAATCAGATTACTCTCTAATTAAGAGGTTACACTGTTAAACATAGTAATCTGATTACTCTCTAGCCAGAAGGTTACTCTGTGTGAAACGTAGTAATCAGATTACTCTCTAATTATTAGGTTCTCTGTGTGAAACACAGTAATCAGATTACTCTCTAGTTATCAGGTTACACTGTGTAAAACGTAGTACTCAGATTACGTTCGTGATTTCAGGTTACTCTGTGTGAAACGCAGTAATCGGATTACTTTCTAGTTAGGTTCTCTCTGTGCTATAATATAGTGGGCTAATAATACACTATATTATTACTGTTCGGGTTACTGTTTAATTCTGAGTTATAGCTTTATTTATCTAATTTTACTGCCATGTTGTCTCTTTAATTTAGCATGTTTTATTATGCAGTTTTATAGTAGGCTAAATGAACTTTGTTTGTACAGCCTAACTATCATGTGAATATAGTAGATTAGTAGAGTAAAAAACTCAACCACCTAAAACAAGCTCCTTTGGAGGGTCACTTAAGTTATTAATTTTTAGTCCTTTCATGAGAGTCAGAAGTACTCGAAAGCCAAAACTTCAGCTGAGAGCAGCACGAGAGCTCCAGCGATGGAAGGAGAGGAAGAGGAGGAGGGTGGAGGAAACTTTAGCTATTGTCTCTATTTATGAGGAAAATATCTATCTTTTTCAACATGATTTTTCTTACTAGATATTCTATTTGCTTGCGATTTAATTCTTCTAACCCTTCTAACCCCCTGTATATCTGTGTATTGAAATCTTGAAATAGCACTCCATCATTCATTGGTACTAAAATTCTTCCATACTTCAAACTAGTTTACTAATAACCTACAAAAACAGAAAGAAAACATAAATTAACACAGGTGTTCAACACAACACGTGTCTATTAGGTTATCATTACAGTTGCTTGGTTGTTCCTGTGGAATACATGACAAAGGTCAATCATGATTTAATACTCACAATCATCACATTTAAGCATACGTTAGCAATGCGCTGCTGGAATTGATTTATAAAGGCTTCAGTGAGACTTTCGGCATCTTTAAAATCAAGCCTGAAAGGTTGCCTAACAGCGAGGAGTTCTGCGCTGGCTGTTCCTCTGCACAAACCCAGAGCAGACAGTGATCTCTAACAGTTATAATATAAAAATAATCACACTTGATCCCCTTTTTCTAAAACTCTGTTTAAAAACACGAAGAACGCTTTTGCAAAATGTAGAATGAACATTCCTTGATGTTCTGATCCCTTTGAAATTCCCTGAAATTTAGTAACAGGTGGTTGTTGGAGGAGCGTAGGACAGCAGATTTATGAACTCAGTGTACTTGTGTTAATTAATCAATTATTAAAGACATATCTAGATATTTTATAAATCCTGAACTAAACTTACTCTGTCTTTCTTTTCTTTGGATTTAACGTCAGTCCCTATTTTCTTTTTTCTTCCCCCGTCTTTCTAATTTTTCTTCTACTACAAATTATCAACACTCCACCACCCAAACTCTTTTGGGGTCAGTCTTCAAACAGTTCTTTTTCAGAAAATGTTACAGTTTTCATGGCCTCTGACAGTCTGACGATTTGTGATGTTGATCATGCTGAGACAGAGAGCTCTTCCTTGGTGATGTCTCTGTCAGCACTTGGTCTCATGTGAGAGCATTTTGGCTGGAGTTCATTTCCCTGTGAAGCCTTCTTGACCTTTTAAACTCTGTGCTGTTAGGTTCACAGTCTTTAAGGTGATGTTTTCTTCTTTATGATTCAACTGTAGATGGTAGGTGTGGTCTGACTGGCTGCTTCCTCAGCACTGGAAAGACACTTACGTCAGTGGAGGTGGGGTTGGGCCTGTGGTGAAGCAGGTTGGCACGCCTCTCTGTATCACTGCTCGTTTCTGGCCCTCCCTCTCTTCCTCACAGACAGATTCTGCTGTGTCCATTTTCAAGCTGCTCTCTCGCCTTCTTCCTCTAGCATGAAACTCCAGAGCTGTCATCGTGTCCAGTGTAGCTCTGTCTCGCTGTTGTACGTTAGTCATCTCTGGGTATGTTGTGCTCTGCAGGTGCCTTGGTTTATGGGCAGACTTTTGTCTTTCTGCCATCTGTTTTAACTTTTCACTTCTTTGTTTGGGAGTTGTTGTTTTTTTTTCTATTCAAATCTAGCGCTGGTCTCTTCCTTATCTAATATAGCTTCTCTTTTTCCATCTCTCCTTTCTTTCCCCCCTTTAAAGACCCTAATTCTTTTGCCTGTACTGGCCCTTCAAACATACTTATATCTTCCTTCCACTTGCCGTATATGCGTTTCTTCATCTAGGGACAATTCATTGAAAAATGTTGTGTTTAATCTCAAGGAGCTATTCAACTAAAAAATAATCAAAGCAGATCTTACTAAAAAATAACTAACTTCAGTGACTGAATCCATACTTGAGAAACTAAAAACTATTCAAATATCAAATTAATTTTCTCACATCTAAAACAAAATTGATGGCTCTCAATCCCTTCTCTAACGTAAATCCTTCATAGATAATACCTCACATTGCTGCCTATCTCCTGTACTTCTATGTTTCAATACATTAGCAAACTTTATTAGATGTCATATCTTTATAAGTTCACTCCGACCAAAAAGTGTCTTCAGCCTGTTATTCTGAACTAAATTTCCTTTATTATCATAGTACTTTAGTAGGCTGTTTCAAATGAACTTTTCCTCCTTATCCAGTTGTTATATTATAAAGGCTCAACAGATCACACAACTGTCATATAACTTTTGGATCAGCTAAAGTTAGGGCTGAACTGCTCTCTTTTTTCCTCTCTCTGCCTGCTGTCCTCCCCCCCTAACAAACATTTAGCACAAACACTAGTCACACTCATACGCAGCTCCTGCCTACATCAATCATACGTTTGCACCCATCTCTGACGCACCAGTGGTTCTTAATTTGTGTACAACTTTGTTTTCTCTTTTTTAGTGAATTTAGTTCATTTTTAGCAAATTCGGTTCAACTTTTAACAATTTATTTTTGTACTTTAACTAGGTTCAAGGGTGAGGAAGCTTTCATAAACTTCACCTGGGCAGAGAATCCTGTACTCAGACACACTATTATGCATAAATTTTAGTAAAAAAATTTCTGCTTACCTTTTTAAGTGCTCGCATGTGTCTCTGAGATACAGGTTGTCTGTCCTTGGTCAAGGTCCTTTGGCCCCTGTTCAACTCTCCTGGCACAGCTCGACAAATAATTTTGTGTAAAAAATTCAAGAAATGGGCCAGATAAGAAAGCTTGAACTTTTACCAAGATTTTTATTATCAACAGAAATAGACACCAAGTAGAATACCAATGGAGATGGTCAGAGATCGATGCAAAATAGAGCCCCATTCTGTTAACAGAACAGAGACCCGAGTTGACATGAAACCATGTAACAACTGACTTTCAACTCCTTTTATAGCTCTGTTTCTTGGCATCACATACTCTCTTGGCTCTCTTTTCTGCTGATGTGGAGCTGGAAAAGTCGTAGCCTCAGCTGGCACCATGACCACCGCTTTCCATCCTTTCAGCTTTTGGTAGATTTTTATCACTTTTATTTCACTGTATTGGATGTCTCTCTTTTCTCATTGCTTTCCAACTTTTCAGTGGATTTTAATTTAACTATTATTGTTTTTGACTGCACTGCTCCCCCTCTCTGTGTCCTAGGCATGCCCTCCGCTGATCATACGTCATATGCAAGGGATACAAGCCTTAAATCCCAGCAGTCCCACATTTTGTAAGAAAACTGTTTCCACTTGCCTTGCGTTACGACCGCAGCACTGATCATCTAGAATATGAAATCCCTCAGCCAAAGCGTGTTCTTGATAGGAAGCAAACTAGTGGCTTGGAAACACCAACCAGTTTAATAGACCTCACTGTCTTCCTTGAGCCATTTAATCTTTGCAAAATTGCACTTCCATTACCTGTGAGCACTGCAGCACATGAGTGCACTTTTTATGTGCTAAAGTTAATCAAGATTGTCTGAAGTAAAATACAATGGCTGACAAAAGATTGGCAAAAAACATCATAAGAACCTGGCATTTTAACAGTGGTGTGTAGACTTTTTCTATCCACTGTAGCCTGCTATAGTCTATTTCTTTACAAAAATACAGCAACAGGTGAATAAAGCTGTACTGAAAAGAATGTAGCTTAATGAGGAGTTTAGATGGTGATATGATTTTGATGTTTCTCTCCATGATAATTCTGGGTTGTTAATCTCCCATGCTTTTTTACATGAATGTTTCACATGGTTTACAAGCCAAACATTGCTGGTTGTCCTGTATGCCACAATTACAAAATTTTTACTGTGTATAAAATGTGTATATGTACAGCTATATTAAAAATAATTGAAGGCCCATGTGTGATGTTTGTAAACTTGAGTAGGCTTGTTTCCAGTAAATGTTTTGTTCTTTGCGGTCAGTGCACTTAAATATAATTATAGTGTATATTTGTCTTTTAAAATTTTTTATGGAACTCAAAATGTTAACTGTGTTGGTATTAGTCTATGCGCATAAGATAGTAACATACACTGTGAAATAAGAAACCAGTTTATCAGTATATGATTCCTTAACTGTCATATTTTTGTCAAGTCTTGTACAGTACTACAAAAGCATGATGAATTCCTGAAATTCAGTGGCTTTTGGTTTTGATGTTGCACCCCAGGATTTCTAGTGGCCCCATCTGGCCACCCCTATGAAAATTTTCTGGTGACGCGACTAAGGTTGGGGGCACAAACATCACACGAACAGACACCACAGAGAAAGGACAGCATCTGCAAGAGAACGGGGTGGGGGATGGGGACAACAAGAAACCACAGGAAACAACAGAGAAAATACATCAGTTACAGAAAGCAAAGATAGGGCTTAGAGGGGAAAAAAAGAGGGGGGGGGGGGGGGACAACAAGAGACAATCAGCTGAACACTTTATGTAAATATATAACTTATTATTTATGCTTAAAAACATAAAAAATAAGGCAACTAGCAGTTGACAACCATGGACAGCAGCACCCCTGAAGAAGAGGGCCCCTGAGAGGAGATGAGACAACCTACCCCAGGCCCCAGGACCCCAGATCCAGAGCACGCCCCCATGCCCAACCCAAGGCAGTCATCGTTTGGTTGGGTTTCTGGAAATACTTACTTTAGTTGTTTATGTTTTGTTTCCTGTATGTTGCAACACCCTCACACACACATCCCTACATCCATCATCCTGTCCTGACAGTACTGAAAGCCTCTGATGTTCATACCCCATACCTGAACAACTTTAATTTGTCACAATTCTTAATTTGGTTTATTCTGGTTTTGAAAGACATATTTTGTTAAATGTTTTCCTAGGTGTTTCTCAGTTTTGTTGTGGCCACTTCAGCCAGGTCAAAACAGGTTCTCCCAGTAACACCAGCCCACACTACAGTTTCAAAGTGAGCCTATCGTGTGAAGATACTGGATGTTCACAGTTACAGACAATGTTAGACACCAAAATACAGGATCACATCGGATTGATGTATTATTACTAAAACCACAAAACATGAGTCTTCTTCAAATTACTTGACTGTCTTAAAAGGATTATGATTCTGCAGATTGTTGATATTTTAACTCAACTGCCAAACAAACACTCCTCTCTCTGTAGTGCTCCGTCAGAAGCTCTGCCCCCAAATTCATGGACGCATGTTTTTTGCAGTACTGTAGAAATTGTGTTAACAAGCCAACATTTAAATATGTACTAAAGCAAAATACTTTTGTAAGCCAAAGCCTAAGCCTTCATTCAAAATATTCAACTGAACAACAAAAATGCATGTTCAGTTATACAAATTGGGTCCAAGGTGGGCCCTTTTAAACCATGGGCCCTGGGAGGCTACAACCTCTAAACCCCCTTTCCGCACCCCCACTGCTTGCTACACTAAAGCAACTTCGATTAAGTTAAGTAGGAAATTTATGATGTAATAACTAATAATCAAATTATGTAACAATACAGCAGAATAAAAATGCTTTGTATTATATGAATTGTAGATGACAAAAGACAATGCTGTGTGTTTTGTAGAAACAAAGGAGGAGACGCACACAGCACAGGTCAGGTTTGACCAGATCTGCAAACATGCCCATCAATGCATTTCTAAGAATATAATGATTGTCTGGTTTAGCTTTTACTTCCTGATTCCAGCAGCATAGTTGTCATTGTTCTACAAGAGCCTGTTTTTCTTCACTGAATCTGAACTACACCCTTTTCTAAGGACTTCAGTACTTAATACAAGCTGAGAACACACACACAGCAGACAGTAAATGAAAGTCAGGGGTGTCTGACGTCTTGTATTTTTAAGCAGAAGGAGGTTAAAAAGACACTGGTAAGTAGAATCATTAACCTTACATTATTCTGCAGGGAAAGTCACATTCTGCCTGTCTGCACGGTTAGTTTAGCTCTCTGTGAGGTTTGGTTATTTGATTAGTTTAGTATGTTTTATAGTCTGTTGGGTTTTGGGTTTCAGTCCTGTCTGTCCATTGTCTTGTATCCAGTCTTCTGGGTGTGTATTTGCATTTTGATTTGGTATTATTTTGGTATATTTCGGTGCTTGCCTTAGTTCTTGTTTAGTTCTGTTCCTGTCTGATGTTTGTTATTAGTTTCCGTACCATCGTGCTTGGGTTCTGTCTGTCTGCTAGGTGTCAATTTATGTTCTCTGCCCGTTTCATTATTTAATCTGATTTTGATCATTCTGCTTTAGTCTGTTCTGGCCTAATTATTAACCTTTTTATTCGGTTGCCTGTTTGTCCTGTTCTAGTTGGCCTCTGTGTATTTGTTGTTTGATTTTTGGCCTTTTTGCAACCTGGGCCCTGTTTCAGAAAGCAGGTTTAACACACTCTGAGCTTAACCCTGAGCTCTGAGTTGACTGAACTTTTCTGTTCCAGAAAAAAACGAGCTCCCAGACTACAATTCACCATGGCAACGGGTAAATAAAGGCAGAGCCTCTATTTTAATCGGGTGGAGCTAGAAATCTGAATTTGTGCCAACGCGGCTATTTATGATAGGCTATTTATGTTAAAATGCAGGAGTTGAGGAACGATCAATATGTTAACAATATTGGGTAGGCTACATTTTATACAGCATTGCTCATTAATTATGAACCACACTGGGATTTCCTTAATGAATGATAAAGCACTGGAATTCTCCTATAGCCCATTTCCTTCATTTTAAATAAGCTACAGGTCTATTTATTCAGCTGTAACCTGACCTACTCATGGACCTGTGATTGTAAAGTTCCAGTCCGACTTAGTAGGTTAGTCTATTAATAATTTGTTTACAGTGGAAAATGTGTCTAGGTTCAAACTGACTGCAAAGCTTTAGATGTTTATTTTACATTAATAAAATCTTGCTCATTTCGTATTTTATGAAATGCTGTATGCAACTAGTAATGAAAAACTCACTTTTAAACTACATTTATTTGTTTCAGGTGCACCACAGTCATCCTCATTCGTAGGTGATAATTACGAATGTTCCAATCTGTGCGACTACAATATGAAAGGTTACTGTACACTGATCAGTTTTGTACAGATTAGTTTAAACAGTGATTACTGTAGCGCACGATAAGTGCTTAGTGCAACTGTTGCCAACCTGACAGCTGCCTTAATGTCCACAGAATCACTGTGTTATAAAGGACAGTGTAGCTTATAGATTTTATTTTGTGCTGAGGATAAATTTACGATGTCCAAAGATAACTCTCTGTCCATACATCGATGACAGATTGATCCATCCGTAATCCTTCAACTGCTTATCCTGCATACAGGGTTGCGGGGGGCCGGAGCCAATCCCAGCTGACATCGGGCAAAAGGCGGGGTACACCCTGGACAGGTCACCAGTCCATCGCAGAACATGTTCAAAATCATGTTTGGGTAAAAAAACTAATAGCCTATCTAACCATGTTTCTAAAGACGTAATTGAGTTCCAATTACAATTAAGTAATTGCTTTGATATCGACAGTATGAATGAGGAAATGTCAGACAGCCGCTTCAGGCTCCGCAGTAAACCTCCTCCCTGGGAGGTTAGGTTCACAGCGCAAGTTGCTAGAGAAATCTGCTCTAGCTCTCTGAAACCGAAAACCCAGAGTT